CAGACTCTCATTTATGAGAACACTATATCTGCCAAAGCCCAGGCCCGAGAGTCTCAACGTCTGGACGACCTTCAGAAGATGGAACCACCGGCCGTCCAAACGCTGAACTATCCGTGGCCGACTAAGATGATGATTCGTCCATCGCCAGGTTGCGAGGAGACGAGAGTGATCAACCTTCAGATAGTCCCAAGTGAAGTGCATGATGAAGCAGTTGAGGTAGGTGAACGATTGTCGATGAGGACGCCAGTAGCGGCGACGACAGTACCGGCAGTGAGCGAGATTTCAGATGTTGAAGATGAAACAACGGATGTTCCGACAGGTGAGCTCGAGGGAGTGCTAGATGACCAGGACTCCGATGACGATGAATTCTTCGACTCGATTAGTGTCGAAGATGGTTTTCCGGAAACGAGCTTGGAAGATATTCCAAAAGTGGAACCCGAAGATGATGTTTTCTCGGACTTGCCAGTGTCAGTGATGGCTTGCACGCCAGTTCAGAAGCTTGAGCTAGAGTACGAGCGTGTCATGCGGGAATAAGTGCTGAGGAATTGGACCTCGAACCCGCAGTGTATATTCATGAAGGGAGCGAGACCTTATCACAACTCCGAGAGCAACTTGCGTTGCTTCCGGATATCGAAGAATTATCTCCGAGATGTGATATTGATTCAGCTGACGTCGGTGAATCTGGGACGAGTACTCCAGAAGAGGAACGAAGATTGCGAACAATCCTGAAGTATCATCGAGCCATCTTTCTGGGAGATGGGAATGCGGTTCCGGCTCCGGCACGAGGCGTCACCTGTGATTTGGATGTTGGGGAGCCGAACCCCGTTGCCCAACGTCCCCGGTCCGTGACACTTATAGTGTATGAATTGCTGAAGAAACTTTTGGAAACCCGACTCATCGAGCATTCGGAATCACCATGGGCATCACCTATCGTTATTGTCCTCAAGAAAAATGGCGTGGATATCCGAATGTGTGTCGATTACCGGATTGTCAATGGATTCA